GAGAGATCTCCATCATAAGTGAGGAGAGAGATCTCCATCATAAGTGAGGAGAGAGATCTCCATCATAAGTGAGGAGAGAGATCTCCATCATAAGTGAGGAGAGAGATCTCCATCATAAGTGAGGAGAGAGATCTCCATCATAAGTGAGGAGAGAGATCTCCATCATAAGTGAGGAGAGAGATCTCCATCATAAGTGAGGAGAGAGATCTCCATCATAAGTGAGGAGAGATATCTCCATGATAAGTGAGGAGAGAGATCTCCATCATAAGTGAGGAGAGAGATCTCCATCATAAGTGAGGAGAGAGATCTCCATCATAAGTGAGGAGAGAGATCTCCATCATAAGTGAGGAGAGAGATCTCCATCATAAGTGAGGAGAGAGATCTCCATCATAAGTGAGGAGAGAGATCTCCATCATAAGTGAGGAGAGAGATCTCCATCATAAGTGAGGAGAGAGATCTCCATCATAAGTGAGGAGAGAGATCTCCATCATAAGTGAGGAGAGAGATCTCCATCATAAGTGAGGAGAGAGATCTCCATCATAAGTGAGGAGAGAGATCTCCATCATAAGTGAGGAGAGAGATCTCCATCATAAGTGAGGAGAGAGATCTCCATCATAAGTGAGGAGAGAGATCTCCATCATAAGTGAGGAGAGAGATCTCCATCATAAGTGAGGAGAGAGATCTCCATCATAAGTGAGGAGAGAGATCTCCATCATAAGTGAGGAGAGATATCTTCATAAGTAAGTAAGGAGAGAGATCTCCATCATAAGTGAGGAGAGAGATCTCCATCATAAGTGAGGAGAGAGATCTCCATCATAAGTGAGGAGAGAGATCTCCATCATAAGTGAGGAGAGAGATCTCCATCATAAGTGAGGAGAGAGATCTCCATCATAAGTGAGGAGAGAGATCTCCATCATAAGTGAGGAGAGAGATCTCCATCATAAGTGAGGAGAGAGATCTCCATCATAAGTGAGGAGAGAGATCTCCATCATAAGTGAGGAGAGAGATCTCCATCATAAGTGAGGAGAGAGATCTCCATCATAAGTGAGGAGAGAGATCTCCATCATAAGTGAGGAGAGAGATCTCCATCATAAGTGAGGAGAGAGATCTCCATCATAAGTGAGGAGAGAGATCTCCATCATAAGTGAGGAGAGAGATCTCCATCATAAGTGAGGAGAGAGATCTCCATCATAAGTGAGGAGAGAGATCTCCATCATAAGTGAGGAGAGAGATCTCCATCATAAGTAAGGAGAGAGATCTCCATCATAAGTGAGGAGAGAGATCTCCATCATAAGTGAGGAGAGAGATCTCCATCATAAGTGAGGAGAGAGATCTCCATCATAAGTGAGGAGAGAGATCTCCATCATAAGTGAGGAGAGAGATCTCCATCATAAGTGAGGAGAGAGATCTCCATCATAAGTGAGGAGAGAGATCTCCATCATAAGTGAGGAGAGAGATCTCCATCATAAGTGAGGAGAGAGATCTCCATCATAAGTGAGGAGAGAGATCTCCATCATAAGTGAGGAGAGAGATCTCCATCATAAGTGAGGAGAGAGATCTCCATCATAAGTGAGGAGAGAGATCTCCATCATAAGTGAGGAGAGAGATCTCCATCATAAGTGAGGAGAGAGATCTCCATCATAAGTGAGGAGAGAGATCTCCATCATAAGTGAGGAGAGAGATCTCCATCATAAGTGAGGAGAGAGATCTCCATCATAAGTGAGGAGAGAGATCTCCATCATAAGTGAGGAGAGAGATCTCCATCATAAGTGAGGAGAGAGATCTCCATTGTAAGTAAGTAAGGAGAGAGATTTTTATCATAAGTAAGGAGAGATATCTCCATCGTAAGTAAGGGAAGATCTCTCCATCATAAGTGAGGAGAGAGATCTCCTTTGTAAGTAAGTAAGGAGAGAGATCTCCATCATAAGTGAGGAGAGAGATCTCCATCATAAGTGAGGAGAGATCTCTCCATCATAAGTGAGGAGAGAGATCTCCATTGTAAGTAATGAGAGAGATCTCCATCATAAGTGAGGAGAGAGATCTCAATCATAAGTGAGGAGAGAGATCTCCATCATAAGTGAGGAGATATCTCCATGATAAGTGAGGAGAGAGATCTCCATCATAAGTGAGGAGAGAGATCTCCATCATAAGTGAGGAGAGATATCTCCATGAGTAAGTAAGGAGAAAGATCTCCATCATAATTAAGGAGAGAGATCTCCATCGTAAGTAACGAGAGAGATCTCCATCGTAAGTAAAAAGAGAGATTTCCATCGCTAGTAAGGAGAGAGATCTCCATCGTAAGTGAGGAGAGAGATCTCCATCGTAAGTAACAAAAGAGATCTCCATCATAACTAAGGAGAGAGATATCCATCATAACTAAGGAGAGAGATCTCCATCGTAAGTGAGGAGAGAGATCTCCATCATAAGTGATGAGAGAGATCTCCATCGTAAGTAAAGAGAGAGATCTCCATTAGTAAGTAAGGAGAGAGATCCCCATAAATAAGTAAGGGAAGATATCTCCATCATAGGTAAGGAGAGATCGAGTAAGGAGAGAGATCTCCATCGTAAGTAAGGAGAGAGATCTCCATCACAAGTAACGAAAGAGATCTCCATCATGAGTAAAGAGAGATCTTCATCATAAGTGAGGAGAGAAAACTCCATCATAAGTAAGGAGAGAGATCTCCATCGTAAGTAAGGGAAGATCACTCCATCATAAGTTAGTAGAGATATCTCAATCATAATTAAGGAGAGAGATCTCAATCATATACTTACGAGAGAGATCTCCATCGTAAGTAAGTAGAGATCTAGTAAGAAGAGAGATCTCCATCATAATTAAGGAGAGAGATCTCCATCGTAAGTAATGTGAGTGATCTCCATCCTAAGTAATGAGAGATCTCCATCGTAAGTAACAAAAGAGATCTCCATCATGAGTAAAGAGAGATCTCCATGATAAGTGTGAGAGATCTCCATCGTAAGTAAAGAGATCTCCATTGTAAGTAAGGAGAGAGATATACATCATAACTAAGGAGAGAGATCTCCATCGTAAGTGAGGAGAGAGATCTCCATCATAAAAGAGGAGAGAGATCTCCATTATAAGTGAGGAGAGAGATCTCCATCGTAAGTAAGGAGATATCTTGTAAGGAGAGAGATCACCATCATAAGTAAAGAGAGATATCTCCATTAGTAAGTAATTAGAGAGATCTCCATAAATAAGTAAGGGAAGAGATCTCCATCGAAGGTAAGAAGAGATCTAGTAAGGAGAGAGATCTCCATCATAAGTAAGGAGAGAGATCTCCATTACAAGTAACGAAAGAGATCTCCATCATGAATAAAGAGAGATCTTCATCATAAGTGAGGAGAGAGATCTCCATCATAAGTGAGGAGAGAGATCTCCATCATAAGTAAGGAGAGAGATCTCCATCGTGAGTAAGGGAAGATCTATCCATCATAAGTTAGTAGAGATATCTCCATCATAAGTGAGGAGAGAGATCTCAATCATAATTAAGGAGAGAGATCTCCATCATATACTTACGAGAGATATCTCCATCGCAAGTAAGGAGAGATCTAGTATGGAGAGAGATCTCCATCGTAAGGAGAGATCTAGTAAGAAGAGAAATCTCCATCATATTTAAGGAGAGAGATCTCTATCGTAAGTAACGAGAGATCTCCATTGTAAGTAAGAGAGATCTCCATCGTAACTAACGAAAGAGATCTCCATCATGAATAAAAAGAGATCTCCATCCTAAGTGAGGAGTGAGATCTTCATCATAAGCAAGGAGAGATCTACATTGTAAGTAAGGAGAGAGAGATCACCATCATGAGTAAAGAGAGATCTCCATCATCAGTGAGGAGAGATCTCCATCATAATTAAGGAAAGAGATCTCCATCATATACTTACGAGAGAGATCTCCATCGTAAGTAAGGAGAGATCTAGTAAGAAGAGAGATCTCCATCATGTTTAAGGAGAGAGATCTCCATCGTAAGTAACGAGAGATCTCCAACATAAGAAAAGAGAGATCTCCATCGTTAGTAACAAAAGAGATCTCCATCATGAGTAAAGAGAGATCTCCATGATAAGTGAGAGAGATCTCCATCGTAAGTAACAAGAGAGATTTATCGTAAGTAAAGAGAGATCTCCATCGTAACTAATGAAAGAGATCTCCATCTTGAGTAAAAAGAGATCTTCATCATAAGCAAGGAGAGAGATCTTCATCGTAAGATATGCTAGATGTGAATAATCTTTCCTGTTGCCATTTTGAGATGTACATACCAGATGGTTTGTTTAAGTTTAAATCCAAATTCAAACCTTGTTGAAACTATTTTGTTATAATTTTATCCAGCTCATGTAATCTCGTTTGCATTGTAAATTGCTATACTAAAAGGCAACAACTATCTGAAATTGCTCTACTAAAAGGCAACTACTATATTATATTGCCATACTATAAGGCATTATATCTACTATCTTATATTGCTGTACTATAAGGCATTATATCTACTATCTTATGTTTCTCTACTATAAGGCAACTACTATCTTATATTGCTCCACTATAAGGCAACTACTATCTTATGTTTTTCTACTATAATGCAACTACTATCTTATGTTTCTCTACTATAAGGCAACTACTATCAGAAATTGTTCTAGCTTACATTTCTCTGCCAAAAAATGACATTGTCTTGTTTACACTAAATGCTGTTCAATGATGTTAAATGCCACTTTCAAGATAGGTCATACTGACCACATAGTTAATAGTTCACTTGATTATAACAAATATCAGAGAGTCCAACACATTGTTTATAACTAACCATTGTGACAGTGTCAGTGTTTTTAGATTTGAACAATGAAACATTCAGATCAACTTCATAGTAGAACTTCCAGTAAAGACAACTATATGGTAGAAAAAATGAAGGGAAAACAATAGAGATTTGAAAACTGTTTGGTTTTTGTGGCATGATATTTATGTGTGCTTTATATGATAGAATGCATTCTTTTTCGTTAACAGAATATAAAGAAATCTCTTAACACCGAGGACTGGGAAAACGTACCCATCACTAAGTGACATGTAATCGTGGCTTTACCCGGGTAATGGTACGGAGGACTGGGAAAACGTGCCCATCACTAAGTGACATGTAATCGTGGCTTTACCCGGGTAATGGTACAGAGGACAGGGTCTGGACTGGGTCACGCTGCTGAGCTAACACTGGGACCAAATTCTTCAATGCTGCAACCCTTTAAAGGCATATTTGATCAAAATATCAAATTGAAGCTCAACTGAAATTATTGCCTCCCCTTATTGAAACGCTTCCCTTAGACTTTTACTGGGTAGTATAATTTAGACTTGTTTGTCTGTTTGAGGATGAGACAGATGTCTGAAAAATGTGTATGCAGTGTAACAGAGATTAAATTCTTGTAAGTGATCTTGAAAATCTAATATGGTGACAAGGAAGTTTGTAACTGTGATAAATATTGCCTATGTTACATGTTCCGTATCACACGTGCTTGTATGTTACAGGAAGTGGTTGTGTGGTCAGATATATAACCTATCGTATTTGACCTGATACTCCCTCAGCCTCAGTTTGCTCTCACAAAATCGTGTAAATGTGGTGCATTTATAACTAAATATAAAGAAACATTTGTTTCTTGCTTTCCCAGCATAAGTTAGAATGACTTTCTCAATGTTCTTTCTTTAGGTATTTAAGATAAGCAATATTTATATATTTATGTCTGAAAAAATAAAGTTTATAACAGAATTTTACAGAATATGAAGCACCTACATGTCTATTTTTGAGCGGTGCATTGAAAACGGTCATTATTCTCTTTTGCCTAAATGTAATGCTTAGGTAAAGAACATTCATGAATTGCTGGTTTCTTTCAGAAAAAATGCATGTATTTCCTTTATAACAATGGCTCTGGATTTCTCATCTTGACAATGTAAGAATATTTTGATTGATATATATATAAGTTTTTGAGCGACTTATGCAAGCTTCATCTCTTTAAAAAAGCAAGATTGAAGTTTTAAATGACAGGTGGGCTTATTAGGTGAAATAGGATACTGCATAGTTTTTATTTTACTCAAGGTATATTTTCATGGTTATGAGGGAATATACAAGTGTATGAATTTCATGCAGTGTTGAATTTTTAGGTCACCTGAGACAAAGTCTCAAGTGACCTATTGCGATCGCCTTTTGTCCGGCGTCGTGCGTCCGTAAACAATTTACATTTTCGACTTCTTCTCCAAAACCCCTGAACCAGTTTCAATGAAATTTTGCAGAAACCTTCCATGGCCAAAGGTCAACAAAAATAGTTGACGGTTTGGTCCCCGGCCCCCAGGGGCCTGAGGGGCAGGGCCAAAAAGGGTCAAATTGACTAAAATTTCAAAAATCTTCTTCTCAAGACCAAGATATGGTAGAATCAAATACTCTTCATAGATGGAAGGGTGTTAAGGTGCTTTACCAAAATTGTGAATTTCTTGACCCTGGGGTCACACGTTTTCCCCTGGGGAGGGGGTAAATTTTATTATAGTTTATATAGGGAAATTACATTTTGGACCAACATTTGGTTAATTACCATTGTAAGTAATTAAATTTAGGTTAGCATTATCAGTATTGGATAGCAGTTTGATGGTATGCACATATGAGCCCTGACTGACCCCACAGGGCTGATGGTTGGGGCCAAAAAGGGTTGAATTGACTGAAATTAAAAAAAATAATCTTCTCAAAGACCCAGATATGGTAGAATCAAACACTCTTCATAGATGGAAGGGTCTTAAGGTTTATGACCCTAGGGTCTCACGTTTACCCCCTGGGGAAGGAGGGGGGGCAAAATTGAATATGGTTTATAATGACAAATGATACTTTGAATATTACATGTTAATAACTTGATTGGAATTATAACCCTGAGTTGACAGTTTGATACTTGAAAATTTTGAGCCAGCCTTACCCCCAAGGGCTGTAGGGTGGGGCCCAAAGGAGTCAGTGTGCTAAAATTTCTTCATTTTCCTTGTTTAGAATCAGAGGTGCTAGTTTCAAATACTTTTTAGTCTTAAATATGTATGCTAGATATTGAATAAGGTGGTTTTATTGTTTTTTGTCACTGAATAATATTTCTGTTCGTGTTAAAAACAAAATCAACTCTCTGTATAAATATATCAGGTGACCATTAAGGCCCATGGGCCTCTTGTTATGTTAAGAATAATAGGTATGTAGTGTATCATGACTGGAAATGTTTGTCATTGTGTTAAAGTTGTAACAGTGATACAACAACAAAAACAACCACAAATCTTTACCATATTTACAGTAAACATAAACTTTGATGTAATCTGTATGATTTAGATTGAGGATGATTGCCGAGAATATGCGTGATATTTTTATCCTGTCATGGGAGAAAACGATGTACGAAAAAATAACATCTATGTGATAGATGATGCATGATAATATTTATTTGGAATTTAAAATAAAAATCTGTTGTTGAATTGAAAATCTGATGACTTCATGTTGATATTAGTTTTAAGCCAACCATCATCAGATGGTGAGCTATTCAAATCACCCTGCATTCGTGTTTTGTCATCCGTCCGTTATTCCGTCCGGCCTTGAACAATTCTTGTTAGCACTATTTCTCGGAAAGTACTGAAGGGATCTTTCTCAAATCTCACATGTAGGTTCCCCATGGTCCTTAGTTATGCAAATGAATTTTAGGGCTAATCACAAAACCAAGATGGATGACAGCCAGCCATCTTGAATTTGAGAGTTCAAGTTTGAAGGGGCCTCATGGTCCCTAGTTATGCATATTGTTTTTAGCTCACCTGGGCCAAAGACATTTTGACTGAATTTGATCTGGAGCATCATTAGCCAAAGGATTCTCAATTTTGCAATAACTGAGGGTATGACCCCACCTGGGGGCAAAGGGATGGTCCAAATAGGGGGAAAATAAGTAAATCTTCAAAATTTGGTCTAATGCGTGCCCCAAGTTTGTATAAACTGAAAGTGTAGCCCCCCCTGGGGGCCCAATAGGGGAAATAGAGGAAAATATTTCTTCTGTTCAAATAAATGGATTTAAACCAAATGTGGTCTGAAGCATGCTTAGGGAAAATCAATGAATATGGTGCAGAAGGGTGGGGCTCATTAGGGAAAATAAAGGAAAAAATTCAAGAACCAACATTGTTTGAGATCATCTTTGGGATTCAAGTTTTCATGAATAAAGTTTCATTATGGGTGAAATATGATGCTTTGAGATCATGTGCATGTAAAAATGTACAGCGTAAAAACATACACGTGTTACCTACTTAAACGCAATTAAAATATTCAATTTACTCATTTAAATATGAGGTAAAATTTGGACATAGTTGGGTTTAAAAAGATTTGTTGTGAATCTTTTTCTAGCCCACCTTCCACCCTATGAGACACTTTCTTATAAAGAAATTGTGGAAATGGAAAACCTTGGTGTAAACTCATTTGCATATTTGTTGCTTTGCATCAAATAAAATTCTGTATAATTAACAAATGGAAAGGATGCACACATATTTAGTTTAAGAAATCACAAAGTTCACTGCTTTGTTTTAGTGCTTCATCTGAAATGTTGTAAGAGTTCTAAATTAATAAAGTTTTGATGAAACATTTTCGCACCTGGTGTACGTTACTGTTGTCTCCCCTGACATGTTCGTTACTGTTTTCTCCCGTGACAAGTACATAACTGTTATCTCCCCTGACCTGTATGTTACTGTTATCTCCCCTGACCAGTACGTTACTGTTGTCTCCCCTGACCTGTACGTTACTGTTGTCTCCCCTGACCTGTACGTTACTGTTATCTCCCCTGACCTGTACGTTTCTGTTGTCTCCCCTGACCTGTTCGTTACTGTTTTCTCCCGTGACAAGTACATAACTGTTATCTCCCCTGACCTGTATGTTACTGTTATCTCCCCTGACCAGTACGCTACTGTCGTCTCCCCTCACCTGTACGTTACTGTTGTCTCCCCTGACCTGTACGTTACTGTTATATTCCCTGACCTGTACGTTACTGTTTTCTCCCTTGACCTGTACGTTACTGTAATCTCCCCTGACCTGTACGTTACTGTTATCTCCCCTGACCTGTAAGTTACTGTTGTCTCCCCTGACCTGTACGTTACTGTTGTCTCCCTTGACATGTACGTTACTGTTGTCTCCCCTGACAAGTACGTTACTGTTATCTACCCTGACAAGTACGTAACTGTTATCTCCCCTAACCTGTACGTTACTGTTATCTCCCCTAACCTGTACGTTACTGTTATCTCCCCTAACCTGTACGTTACTGTTGTATCCCCTGACCTGTACGTTACTGTTGTCTCCCCTGACCTGTACGTTTCTGTTAACTCCCCTGACCTGTAAATTACTGTAATCTCCCCTGACCTGTACGTTACTGTAATCTCCCTTGACCTGTACGCTACTGTAATCTCCCCTGACAAGTACGTTACTGTTGTCTTCCCTGACCTGAACGTTACTGTTGTATCCCCTGACAAGTACGTTACTGTTGTCTCCCCTGACCTGTACGTTTCTGTTAACTCCCCTGACCTGTAAATTACTGTAATCTCCCCTGACCTGTACGTTACTGTAATCTCCCTTGACCTGTACGTTACTGTTATCTCCCCTGACCTGTACGTTACTGTTGTCTTCCCTGACCTGTACGTCACTGTTGTCTCCCCTGACCTGTATGTTACTGTTGTCTCCCCTGACCTGTACGTTTCTGTAATCTCCCTTGACCTGTACGTTACTGTTATCTCCCCTGACCTGTATGTTACTGTTGTCTCCCCTGACCTGTACGTTACTGTTGTCTTCCCTGACCTGTACGTAACTGTTGTCTCCCCTGACCTGTACGTTAATGTTATCTCCCCTGACCTGTACGTTACTTTTGTCTTCCCTGACCTGTGCGTCACTGTTGTCTCCCCTGACCTGTACGTTAATGTTATCTCCCCTGACCTGTACGTTACTGTTGTCTCCCCTGACCTTTACGTTACAGTTATCTCCCCTGACCTATACGTTACTGTTGTCTCCCCTGACCTGTACGTTACTGTTGTCTCCCCTGACCTGTACGTTACTATCCATGCCTCCACACCTGAAAGATCCAATAGGATTTCTAGTAAATCAGGACATCTCAAAATCCTAAATGTGAACTTCAGTTCAATCAAAAACAAGCAGTGCGAAGTGAAATATTTAGACTCAACAATCACAGACAGCCAGATCTTTCCCTCAAACTACAAACTGTTTCGCAAAGATAGGAATTGTAATGGGGGTGGCGTACTAATTGCAGTTGCCAAAGACCTACTCAGTGACCCAGTACCTGAACTACAAACTGACTGTGAGATTGTTTGGGCTAAGATTCAACTAGTCGGTGCAAAAGATCTATACCTATGTTCTTTCTACAACCCCAAAACATCTAAAGAAGGACCCATCACTGAACTAGAGACTAGCCTAACGCGTATATGCAATGGCTCGAATCACAACACTCGTCTTGGAACCACTTCAAAGAACAACTCGAAAACATCACTAATACCCACATCCCACAGAAGCTGGCCAAGACCAAAGACAGCCCACCATGGATATCCAAGGACCTCCGGAAGATGATCCACAGGAAGAACCGGCTGTACAAGAGAAGTCACCATGCCCAATCAACATTGAGAAATACAAAGAGGCAAAGACCCTAGTACAGAAAGGTCTCAGAAGGTCTCACAAATCCGAGACCCAGCTTCTAGAATTCATTGAGGACATCACTAAGAACATGTCGGATAAGAAGCAAACAGACGTTCTTGTCATGGATTTCTCGAAAGCCTTTGACAAAGTCTGCCACAGCCTGCTTTTCCATAAACTACACCACTACGGCATTCGAGGCAAAGTCAACACCTGGATCGAGTCCCTACTTACAGATAGAGTACAATCAGTTTTAGTCTACGGAGAAACATCAGACTCTGTAGCTGTAGCCTCTGGAGTACCACAGGGATCTGTCTTCGGACCCAGTCTGTTTCTCCTCTATATCAATGATATGCCACTCAACATCACATCTAAAGTGCACTTGTTTGCCGACGACACAATAGTCTATCTTACGATCACATCGAACACTGACGCGAGAATTCTACAATAAGATCTCGAAAAATTAGCAGTATGGAAACAACAATGGAAGATGGAATTTCACCCGGGAAAGTGCCAAGTACTGTCCATCACCAGAAACAGAAACAAAATCAACCACAAATACACCCTCCATGGACATGT